CAAAATATCTTGTTAAATAAGATCTATAAAAATATGATGTAATTTGTTGTGATTTGTTTGGAAAAGGGGCAGAATGATTGTGGGTGTTAATACATTTTCGTATGTGGTACTTGTCATCGGGAAGTGTATCAACAAGGAAGCGACATGGACAATTCGGCCACTTACAATTAAATTGGATTTGATTTCTTTCTTTCCTAGTTTTATATGAATAACTACAACCTGCTTGGATTTCTTGTTGCACTCGATACTTAAGCAACTCGATATATGTGAGTTCGTGATCTTGGATCTGCATTAAAATGAAATGATTTGAAAGAATAAAGAATTTTGAATATATTGGTCTTATTTTGATAAGCTTGGTCGTGTTTTGAATAGCTTGGCCATCTAATTCAATTATGATCTTTGAAAATTAGGTGAAATAAAACTAAACATAAATGTAAAACTAGGGATATGAAATTTTGGTTGTACACCACTTGTATGTGCCGGATACCATTGTGTCAAATTTTTTCTGAAATTAACTTTAAAAGTACTAAGTAAGATCATGAGATATAGCAATATATGTTTAAACTAACTTATATTTTGGTTGTACACCACTTGTATGTGCCGGATACCATTGTGTCAAATTTTTTCTGAAATTAACTTTAAAAGTACTAAGTAAGATCATGAGATATAGCAATATATGTTTAAACTAACTTATATTTTGGTTGTACACCACTTGTATGTGCCGGATACCATTGTGTCAAATTTTTTCTGAAATTAACTTTAAAAGTACTAAGTAAGATCATTTGTTTTTGCATAATATAATGCCAATATGGTTTCTTTTGATTTTATTTCATTTATAAGCAAATCAGATTTACCCAAAAACTCCACTCCATAAGCGTTCATTTGCTAAATTAAAAAGTGACAATGGGCTAGTCTGTTCCTTTCTCAAAATCAAGTTTTTTCCAGTGTTTTTCTAAATCCATCAAAGAGTTGATATTAGACCACCAAAGTTATATATGATATGAAGATACCATATGTGATTCTAAATGATGTATATTAATCGAAAAAATATATTCCTGTAAAGAAAAAAATAAGTTTTTATTAATTTGGAGGATTAGCCAATTGATAGAACTCTCAGAAAAAATTGAGAACTTTTTAATCCTCGTAGTGCACCCTTAAGTGAAAAGGTCGCAATTAAATTCAAGAACAATGATCAATAATAGGCATTTTAAAATATTATAAATCATTACCCTTATTTATATTATTACTTTTTTTTCGAAGATATCTAAAGCTTGCTATATGAAATATAGGAGAAAGGGACAGACTAGCCCATTGTCACTTTTTAATTTAGCAAATGAACGCTTATGGAGTGGAGTTTTTGGGTAAATCTGATTTGCTTATAAATGAAATAAAATCAAAAGAAACCATATTGGCATTATATAGGGTGTCCAAAGGTGTGTTTAGCACAAACCTGAATACTGCGAATAGAAATAAACAAGTTACATATATATAAAGTTTATTTAAATATAATCACCATTGGATTCAATCACGCGTTCGCAGCGATCGATCCAGGCTTGAAAGACACGCTTTAAATCATCATGAGAAAATTGCTCAAATTGCTCTCTTACAAAATTTTCAAGATCATCTGGACTCGCGAATTCGCGTCCTTCAGCTCTCTTTTTTAGCGTGCCGAATAAATAAAAGTCAGAGGGTGCAATATCAGGTGAATAAATTGGGTTTGGAACAACTTTGACATTGTTTTCCACCAAGTAATTCATTACCTTATGACTTTTGTGAACTCTTGAATTATCAAAATGAATTGCAAACTTTTGTTTTTGTTGTTTGGATTTCTCAAACTCATCAGAATTGATAATTTGAGTAAGAACATTGTCAATTAGATACTGAGCATTCATCGTATTAGGTTTTTGAAGAATATCAATTGCGATGATGCCATTCACGCCCCAAAAAACCGACAACATCATCATTGGTGTGTCAATTTTTTTCTTCGGGAATGTTTGCGGATTTTCATCCTTCGGGATCCACATGATTTTGGCTTCTGTTGCATAGTGAAACCAAGACTCGTCCCCTGTTACTAAAAAGCGAAACTTCTTGGATTGATATGCACCCAATATAGAGAGGAGCTCTTTCGAAGATTGGACTCTAGATTTTTTTTGAACTGAATTAAGGTTGTGCGGAACCCAACGTGTATACGCTAGTTTGTAGTTCAAATAATTGTGCAGATAATAACTGACTGTTGTACGTGGTATCTTTGTCATCTCCTCTATCCTTCTGAGTGATGCTCTTGGGTCTTCATCTAGCGCTTGAAGAATTGCTTTGATTTTTCTTTGATCCGGCGATTTTTTGTCAATTTTTATGATGGGCGCCTTTTTGTTCATGAAGTGATACATCCTAACATGATACGTTACAGTGGAATAGCTAGGAGCATCCATACCGAAGCATTTTACCAATGTCTCGTAGATTTTTTTACAGTCTTTGCATTTTTTTGCAAGAGCGAGGATGTTTTCTTTATGATTCATTAAAAAAATGAAAAAAATCCCGCCAAAATTTCCCGCGAAACCGCCTCTTGTCTCAAAATTCATTTTATATCCCGGCATGGCGCCAAAATACAACTTACTCATCATATACATATATTCATATTTTTTATTATATATTTATAATCAGCATATATCTCCTTTAATAGTCTCATATAGAGCGCTGTGCTAAACGCACCTTTGGACACCCTATATTATGCAAAAACAAATGATCTTACTTAGTACTTTTAAAGTTAATTTCAGAAAAAATTTGACACAATGGTATCCGGCACATACAAGTGGTGTACAACCAAAATTTCATATCCCTAGTTTTACATTTATGTTTAGTTTTATTTCACCTAATTTTCAAAGATCATAATTGAATTAGATGGCCAAGCTATTCAAAACACGACCAAGCTTATCAAAATAAGACCAATATATTCAAAATTCTTTATTCTTTCAAATCATTTCATTTTAATGCAGATCCAAGATCACGAACTCACATATATCGAGTTGCTTAAGTATCGAGTGCAACAAGAAATCCAAGCAGGTTGTAGTTATTCATATAAAACTAGGAAAGAAAGAAATCAAATCCAATTTAATTGTAAGTGGCCGAATTGTCCATGTCGCTTCCTTGTTGATACACTTCCCGATGACAAGTACCACATACGAAAATGTATTAACACCCACAATCATTCTGCCCCTTTTCCAAACAAATCACAACAAATTACATCATATTTTTATAGATCTTATTTAACAAGATATTTTGAATCAAATCAAGACCGTGTTTACGCACAATTAAGGTGTTTCAAAGATCTTAATATCCCATTTGATAGTGGGATCATTCCGGAAATGTTTCAACAATCTACAGATGCTTTAAAAAAGTTTTCTAAACGCCTTCATGCAATCAATACCCGTTTCTCAGCGGATGATGTTACATCTCTTGCAATTTTTGTCGACATGGTTAAGAGTCATTCTCCAGATGATCTCATCGAGTTTATTCACGAGCCAGATCGTATGATTTTCTATTACGCCCCATTCGAAGCAAATGCTTTTTCACATCAAATACAAACTTATCACATTGATTCCACTTATAAGCTCTTGCGCTCTCGCATACCATTTTATGCCGTCACTGGCAAATTCGCGGAATCAATTGTTTTTCCGTTTTTGTATTTTTTCGTTTGGCCCGACACAAGTGAAAATATACAAGTTTGTCTCACAGCATATTTTGGCTCCATCAATCGCGAACCATCTTATTTTTCAATGGACTGCGCACCTCAAATCACAAATGCTGTTGAAACAGCCATCCCCTTATGCCAGATCATTTGGTGTGGCGTTCATGTGTTGCGCGCTGTCATGAGAAAGGCTGAAAAGTTTCAAGATCGTTCCAACTTCGAAACTTTCTATAACTTAATGAAGTTATTGGTCTTTGGTTCTGAAGAGGAAGAAATTGATCATGATGAAGTTTACAACAATTTAGAAGAAATTTTAAATGAGGAACCTGCTGCCCGTGAATACTTTGACCAACAGTGGCGCCATCATCTTGACAGGTGGATGCTTCGCTATAGAAATGAAGGAGATGGAACAAACAACATCTCGGAATCACATTTCAAGGTTTTGAAGCACCAGTACTTCCCAGAAAGGCGAAATCTTCGACTCGATGAACTTGTCATCGAGTTATATTCCAGTGTTGTTCCTTCATTCCTGATTAAGTTGCAAATTAAAGGTCTGGATTCAGAGAGAAGTGTTAAAGTTATCAAAAAAGTCACAAGAGATTTCGAAGAAATGACACAATTTAAGGATGGGCACTCATAGGCTCCTGACAGCATAAAAATGTTATTATCTCACAATATAAAAGGAATCATAGGAATCTACAACTATATCTATATTGTTGGAAGACTTCTTAATGTATCATCCATATAAGTTATATCAATAACTCCATTATGTTATATGATTGTAATCATATTTTCGTTTCATGTTCAAAAACATTAAAATCATACTAACTATATGAGTATTATATTTAGGAAGCTGATATATAGATATGATAAAATGCTAGGTTTTGTGATTAAGAATATATACTTATCTTTTAGAAAATAATACTTTTATAAAAAATTATATCTTATATAATCTAAAAATTTTGGACAATTAAAAAACATTAATTAAAAATAGAAGGTGAAAGTGTTTATTCAAAGAAGGTGCAAGATTATGATGTTTTGAGGGTGAAATAAATTTAATAATTATTTATGTGATTTAAGAGTAATACGATCATCGGTAGCTTGAAGACCTCTCTTTATAGCTCTTAATGCCGCAAACTTTTTTTGAACTTGCTTTGAATTTTTGAATGCTTTGATTAAATCTTTTGTTGTATCATACATTCCGAAATATCTGTTCATCATTTCTGGCATTGTTGGTAAATTTAACCTGTATCTTGTTGCTACAATCGTTTCAAACATACTTTCATTGAAATGCAATATTGTGACTGCCATCCTAATTGGCCAAGAAGCATGCCAATTAATATTTTTATTAGCAAGCATTGCTTTGATATGGTTTATCGATTCAACTACTTGAGTTGAATGAATCTTTTTTACCATATCAAAGATTTTTACGGTATCTTCGAGGAATTTTTTAAGTGTTTTTATAGCAGTTTTATTTTTTGCATATTTCCATGGTTTAATCATCTTGCATTTTTCAGGATCTGGACAAAATTTATGATTTCCGGCATAATGTTTAGCGGAATTCAACCATAAAAACTTCTTTGTTTTAATTGACATATGTGTGTCATTGAGAAGTTGCCTAAGCCAACGCAATAAATTCTTTGAAATGCTAGATAAGATTCTGAATTCTGGCAGTTTGAGCTTTTTCTGTATATTGTTAAGAAAATGTCCAGGATCTCTGTATTCTCTGATACCTTTGAACGTATTTTGGATTGTAGAAACAATTTTGACATCGCCATCATGCACAAAAAAATTTACACGTTTTTCATTATTCCAACGCTTCAGCATTCTTTTTAAGCCTTCAAATTCCATTTCATTTGATTTTCCGTTGAAATTACCTTTGAAATTTTTAAAATATTTAGATATCACTTCCCAATCTACAATTTTTTTGAGTTTCTCTTCTACAAATTGTACATAGCAAAACATTGCATTTCTTCTCTGACTCCAAGAACCGTCAAACAAAAGTCCCGAACATTTTCTCATTCGAGATTTCCAATAATTAACAGATTCTCTGGCAACTTCTATGATAACACGACCAACCTTTTCTTGGACTCGATGAAATGTAGCTTCTGACGGAACTTTGATGTTATTCAGCATGAATTGAAATTCTGATTGGCAAAATGTAGCGCCGCTCAATAATACAGATAGCACAAATTCAACAGTGTTGACGACATATGGCTCTACCCTATTTTTCGCGCTTTGAACTAAGTTCTTTATACGCTTTGCAACTGCTTTTGTTCGCCGCGGCATGAAAAATGAAGAATAACTTGACGGTTTCTTGAACAAATGGTCGCACATTCAAATATTGTGATGTACGATCAGGATAAAAGAATGTTGTTGCCGTGAATTTAGAAAATAGCAAAATTTCAATTTACGCAATCGAGATATAACTTGATCGTTTGAGCGATAACCATGGCACCCATAGTATTATTGAAAGTACTCATACTTACAATTATTTTCTCCCATAGGAATATTGTTCAATATACTTCACCTATAGAGGAAATCTCGAAATAAAATCGAATTTTTTCAAAAATTACAAAAATCAATTTTTTACAAAGATGTTCGAAAAATAACATTATATACGCATCAAATCAAAGCATTATATGGAGCATTATAATTCTATATATGATTGTCCATCTTGCTGTTGTGCTATTTTTTTTAAACAATAATTTCATTGTTGAAATTAAATTTGCAATTTCAGTAAAAATTGTGACCCATCATTTTGAATATAATTGAATTAATACATTTATTGTCAGAATATTATATACCAAATATTAGACTTCCACATGAATCCTGGTATGATATTATAAGTATTGCAAAATTAGAAAAAAATATGCTCATGATATACTAAAATTCATGTTTCAAGGTTAACTTATAAATAAAATAAGTTCGAGAAATGCATCACTAAATATTTGAGCTTGTGCACTATAATGCTATATAATAGTCTTCACTGTTTTTAATATATTGACTTTGCTAGACTTGATTTTTTTCATCACCCTAATGAGTGCCCATCCTTAAAAAAGTCGAATGCATCAGTATGCTTGAAGCTGTTCAGAAAGGTCTGAAAAATGATACACTTGATCCCAACATTGTTTACTCAACATTAAAAATATTATTGCAAAGAAAACATTTGATTTAATAAACATTTAATTTATTATAATTAATTTTTTATTAAAGTATAGTAAAAAATGCTATAAATAAATTATTATATTTTATTAAAATGTGACTTTTAATAGTAAGTGAATAAAATAAATCCGGAATTGGGAAAGAAATAAGGTTAATTAAAAATAATGAAAATTACAAGTTTAAGGTTAATGAAAAAGTGACAATGGGCGAGTTTGTCCCCCACTCTGCAGGTCATGAAATTTTTGGGCCTTTTTTAGGTTCTTGAAAAACGAGTTTTTTTTGAAAATAAATTGCATAAATAGCATCATCATATATGTACCAATGATATGGTGTTTCGTACCGAAATGGCTAACAAAAAAGTGACAGAAAACCTTAAATTGCGCGGCAATTTTAATTAAAAAATAAACATTAATTTTTGTGATTGATATTATGCATTTTATTTATATTATATAAGATTTAAATTTAGGGGAAAAATTGGAAAAAAAATAAGATTGGAAGTCTTTAGGTAAGAAGGAAAGGGCAAGAGATATATAGTGTACCTATATACCTCTTGCCCTTTCATTCTAAGTAGAAATGGGAGAAACTTTGTCCGCATCATAAGTTATGCGGACAAAGTTTCTCCGATTTCTAATGGGAATTGCAGGCTATGAGGCACTGATATATAATCAGTACCTCATAGCCTACAATTCCCTTTATTAGACTTCCAAACTTTGAGTTAATGTCAAGACATTAACTCAAAGTTTGGAAAACTTCTCGTAAGAATCAATCGTCAAAAACCTCGATTGCAGTTATATTCATTGTGTTAAATTTGATTTATTTTGAAATTTTTATAAATTAAATTTTATATAACATAAAGCGTTATGAATTAGTATTTCCATATGAATTTTATCTCGAAAATAGTAATTCTATCCAGTTATATTTCGGTTAATTTTGGAAATTTCTAGGAATACTTTAAGATAGTATGATTATATATAACTCTGCCTTCATGATTTATTTTAGCTTTCGCGCAAATATCAGTTAACTTAACTCCATTATTTGATTTTGTGATGGCTTCACAAAGCCAATCAATATCAATCTCTTCTGGAGAATGTCTTCTCATCTAGAATATTTTCAATACTTTACATACAAACATTTTTATTTCTAAAAAACTTTTTAATTTTTTCTAGGATATATGAATGAAAATAGTTAGAACAAGATTTTGAAGCTCAAAACATTAAAAATTATTAAAGATTTGTATAATATGATTAAAAATGGGAAATAATATGAGGCAATATAAAGGAATATGAATATTAAATAAATATATCTAAATAGAAAGAATCAGAAAAATCAAATTATTGGCGCCAAAAATGTCACCTTTTTGGTGAGCCATTTCGGTATGAGATATGTACCAATGATATAGTAAAAAGAAAAATCATGGCTCTCGATCAAAATAATGAGAAAAATAAACATGCTAAAATTTTTTTGAAAATCAAGTTTTTTCCAGTGTTTTTCTAAATCCATCAAAGAGTTGATATTAGACCACCAAAGTTATATATGATATGAAGATACCATATGGAGTGGGGGACAAACTCGCCCATTGTCACTTTTTCATTAACCTTAAACTTGTAATTTTCATTATTTTTAATTAACCTTATTTCTTTCCCAATTCCGGATTTATTTTATTCACTTACTATTAAAAGTCACATTTTAATAAAATATAATAATTTATTTATAGCATTTTTTACTATACTTTAATAAAAAATTAATTATAATAAATTAAATGTTTATTAAATCAAATGTTTTCTTTGCAATAATATTTTTAATGTTGAGTAAACAATGTTGGGATCAAGTGTATCATTTTTCAGACCTTTCTGAACAGCTTCAAGCATACTGATGCATTCGACTTTTTTAAATTGTGTCATTTCTTCGAAATCTCTTGTGACTTTTTTGATAACTTTAACACTTCTCTCTGAATCCAGACCTTTAATTTGCAACTTAATCAGGAATGAAGGAACAACACTGGAATATAACTCGATGACAAGTTCATCGAGTCGAAGATTTCGCCTTTCTGGGAAGTACTGGTGCTTCAAAACCTTGAAATGTGATTCCGAGATGTTGTTTGTTCCATCTCCTTCATTTCTATAGCGAAGCATCCACCTGTCAAGATGATGGCGCCACTGTTGGTCAAAGTATTCACGGGCAGCAGGTTCCTCATTTAAAATTTCTTCTAAATTGTTGTAAACTTCATCATGATCAATTTCTTCCTCTTCAGAACCAAAGACCAATAACTTCATTAAGTTATAGAAAGTTTCGAAGTTGGAACGATCTTGAAACTTTTCAGCCTTTCTCATGACAGCGCGCAACACATGAACGCCACACCAAATGATCTGGCATAAGGGGATGGCTGTTTCAACAGCATTTGTGATTTGAGGTGCGCAGTCCATTGAAAAATAAGATGGTTCGCGATTGATGGAGCCAAAATATGCTGTGAGACAAACTTGTATATTTTCACTTGTGTCGGGCCAAACGAAAAAATACAAAAACGGAAAAACAATTGATTCCGCGAATTTGCCAGTGACGGCATAAAATGGTATGCGAGAGCGCAAGAGCTTATAAGTGGAATCAATGTGATAAGTTTGTATTTGATGTGAAAAAGCATTTGCTTCGAATGGGGCGTAATAGAAAATCATACGATCTGGCTCGTGAATAAACTCGATGAGATCATCTGGAGAATGACTCTTAACCATGTCGACAAAAATTGCAAGAGATGTAACATCATCCGCTGAGAAACGGGTATTGATTGCATGAAGGCGTTTAGAAAACTTTTTTAAAGCATCTGTAGATTGTTGAAACATTTCCGGAATGATCCCACTATCAAATGGGATATTAAGATCTTTGAAACACCTTAATTGTGCGTAAACACGGTCTTGATTTGATTCAAAATATCTTGTTAAATAAGATCTATAAAAATATGATGTAATTTGTTGTGATTTGTTTGGAAAAGGGGCAGAATGATTGTGGGTGTTAATACATTTTCGTATGTGGTACTTGTCATCGGGAAGTGTATCAACAAGGAAGCGACATGGACAATTCGGCCACTTACAATTAAATTGGATTTGATTTCTTTCTTTCCTAGTTTTATATGAATAACTACAACCTGCTTGGATTTCTTGTTGCACTCGATACTTAAGCAACTCGATATATGTGAGTTCGTGATCTTGGATCTGCATTAAAATGAAATGATTTGAAAGAATAAAGAATTTTGAATATATTGGTCTTATTTTGATAAGCTTGGTCGTGTTTTGAATAGCTTGGCCATCTAATTCAATTATGATCTTTGAAAATTAGGTGAAATAAAACTAAACATAAATGTAAAACTAGGGATATGAAATTTTGGTTGTACACCACTTGTATGTGCCGGATACCATTGTGTCAAATTTTTTCTGAAATTAACTTTAAAAGTACTAAGTAAGATCATGAGATATAGCAATATATGTTTAAACTAACTTATATTTTGGTTGTACACCACTTGTATGTGCCGGATACCATTGTGTCAAATTTTTTCTGAAATTAACTTTAAAAGTACTAAGTAAGATCATTTGTTTTTGCATAATATAATGCCAATATGGTTTCTTTTGATTTTATTTTTTATAAGCAAATCAGATTTACCCAAAAACTCCACTCCATAAGCGTTCATTTGCTAAATTAAAAAGTGACAATGGGCTAGTCTGTTCCTTTCTCAAAATCAAGTTTTTTCCAGTGTTTTTCTAAATCCATCAAAGAGTTGATATTAGACCACCAAAGTTATATATGATATGAAGATACCATATGTGATTCTAAATGATGTATATTAATCGAAAAAATATATTCCTGTAAAGAAAAAAATAAGTTTTTATTAATTTGGAGGATTAGCCAATTGATAGAACTCTCAGAAAAAATTGAGAACTTTTTAATCCTCGTAGTGCACCCTTAAGTGAAAAGGTCGCAATTAAATTCAAGAACAATGATCAATAATAGGCATTTTAAAATATTATAAATCATTACCCTTATTTATATTATTACTTTTTTTTCGAAGATATCTAAAGCTTGCTATATGAAATATAGGAGAAAGGGACAGACTAGCCCATTGTCACTTTTTAATTTAGCAAATGAACGCTTATGGAGTGGAGTTTTTGGGTAAATCTGATTTGCTTATAAATGAAATAAAATCAAAAGAAACCATATTGGCATTATATAGGGTGTCCAAAGGTGTGTTTAGCACAAACCTGAATACTGCGAATAGAAATAAACAAGTTACATATATATAAAGTTTATTTAAATATAATCACCATTGGATTCAATCACGCGTTCGCAGCGATCGATCCAGGCTTGAAAGACACGCTTTAAATCATCATGAGAAAATTGCTCAAATTGCTCTCTTACAAAATTTTCAAGATCATCTGGACTCGCGAATTCGCGTCCTTCAGCTCTCTTTTTTAGCGTGCCGAATAAATAAAAGTCAGAGGGTGCAATATCAGGTGAATAAATTGGGTTTGGAACAACTTTGACATTGTTTTCCACCAAGTAATTCATTACCTTATGACTTTTGTGAACTCTTGAATTATCAAAATGAATTGCAAACTTTTGTTTTTGTTGTTTGGATTTCTCAAACTCATCAGAATTGATAATTTGAGTAAGAACATTGTCAATTAGATACTGAGCATTCATCGTATTAGGTTTTTGAAGAATATCAATTGCGATGATGCCATTCACCCCAAAAAACCGACAACATCATCATTGGTGTGTCAATTTTTTTCTTCGGGAATGTTTGCGGATTTTCATCCTTCGGGATCCACATGATTTGGCTTCTGTTGCATAGTGAAACCAAGACTCGTCCCCTGTTACTAAAAAGCGAAACTTCTTGGATTGATATGCACCCAATATAGAGAGGAGCTCTTTCGAAGATTGGACTCTAGATTTTTTTTGAACTGAATTAAGGTTGTGCGGAACCCAACGTGTATACGCTAGTTTGTAGTTCAAATAATTGTGCAGATAATAACTGACTGTTGTACGTGGTATCTTTGTCATCTCCTCTATCCTTCTGAGTGATGCTCTTGGGTCTTCATCTAGCGCTTGAAGAATTGCTTTGATTTTTCTTTGATCCGGCGATTTTTTGTCAATTTTTATGATGGGCGCCTTTTTGTTCATGAAGTGATACATCCTAACATGATACGTTACAGTGGAATAGCTAGGAGCATCCATACCGAAGCATTTTACCAATGTCTCGTAGATTTTTTTACAGTCTTTGCATTTTTTTGCAAGAGCGAGGATGTTTTCTTTATGATTCATTAAAAAAATGAAAAAAATCCCGCCAAAATTTCCCGCGAAACCGCCTCTTGTCTCAAAATTCATTTTATATCCCGGCATGGCGCCAAAATACAACTTACTCATCATATACATATATTCATATTTTTTATTATATATTTATAATCAGCATATATCTCCTTTAATAGTCTCATATAGAGCGCTGTGCTAAACGCACTTTGGACACCCTATATTATGCAAAAACAAATGATCTTACTTAGTACTTTTAAAGTTAATTTCAGAAAAAATTTGACACAATGGTATCCGGCACATACAAGTGGTGTACAACCAAAATTTCATATCCCTAGTTTTACATTTATGTTTAGTTTTATTTCACCTAATTTTCAAAGATCATAATTGAATTAGATGGCCAAGCTATTCAAAACACGACCAAGCTTATCAAAATAAGACCAATATATTCAAAATTCTTTATTCTTTCAAATCATTTCATTTTAATGCAGATCCAAGATCACGAACTCACATATATCGAGTTGCTTAAGTATCGAGTGCAACAAGAAATCCAAGCAGGTTGTAGTTATTCATATAAAACTAGGAAAGAAAGAAATCAAATCCAATTTAATTGTAAGTGGCCGAATTGTCCATGTCGCTTCCTTGTTGATACACTTCCCGATGACAAGTACCACATACGAAAATGTATTAACACCCACAATCATTCTGCCCCTTTTCCAAACAAATCACAACAAATTACATCATATTTTTATAGATCTTATTTAACAAGATATTTTGAATCAAATCAAGACCGTGTTTACGCACAATTAAGGTGTTTCAAAGATCTTAATATCCCATTTGATAGTGGGATCATTCCGGAAATGTTTCAACAATCTACAGATGCTTTAAAAAAGTTTTCTAAACGCCTTCATGCAATCAATACCCGTTTCTCAGCGGATGATGTTACATCTCTTGCAATTTTTGTCGACATGGTTAAGAGTCATTCTCCAGATGATCTCATCGAGTTTATTCACGAGCCAGATCGTATGATTTTCTATTACGCCCCATTCGAAGCAAATGCTTTTTCACATCAAATACAAACTTATCACATTGATTCCACTTATAAGCTCTTGCGCTCTCGCATACCATTTTATGCCGTCACTGGCAAATTCGCGGAATCAATTGTTTTTCCGTTTTTGTATTTTTTCGTTTGGCCCGACACAAGTGAAAATATACAAGTTTGTCTCACAGCATATTTTGGCTCCATCAATCGCGAACCATCTTATTTTTCAATGGACTGCGCACCTCAAATCACAAATGCTGTTGAAACAGCCATCCCCTTATGCCAGATCATTTGGTGTGGCGTTCATGTGTTGCGCGCTGTCATGAGAAAGGCTGAAAAGTTTCAAGATCGTTCCAACTTCGAAACTTTCTATAACTTAATGAAGTTATTGGTCTTTGGTTCTGAAGAGGAAGAAATTGATCATGATGAAGTTTACAACAATTTAGAAGAAATTTTAAATGAGGAACCTGCTGCCCGTGAATACTTTGACCAACAGTGGCGCCATCATCTTGACAGGTGGATGCTTCGCTATAGAAATGAAGGAGATGGAACAAACAACATCTCGGAATCACATTTCAAGGTTTTGAAGCACCAGTACTTCCCAGAAAGGCGAAATCTTCGACTCGATGAACTTGTCATCGAGTTATATTCCAGTGTTGTTCCTTCATTCCTGATTAAGTTGCAAATTAAAGGTCTGGATTCAGAGAGAAGTGTTAAAGTTATCAAAAAAGTCACAAGAGATTTCGAAGAAATGACACAATTTAAGGATGGGCACTCATAGGCTCCTGACAGCATAAAAATGTTATTATCTCACAATATAAAAGGAATCATAGGAATCTACAACTATATCTATATTGTTGGAAGACTTCTTAATGTATCATC